TGAGGCTGTGTTTAATCCCCACCTGCACTGAAGAGCACAGTTCAGCAGCAAAGCCTTTGCACTGCAGGTGGAAGCACAGGGAGAGATCACCCATGAAGGGGGAAAAGAAGAGAAAGCAGCTGCCCCCAAGCAGCCTCATCCTCTGCAAGGCTGTACCCACACTGTCAGCATAGCAGGAGTTCTGACAGCTCCTCTTTGCGCCATGAGAAGAGGCAGAATCACAAGGCACTGTGTGCCACACTGTGCAAGACCTAATAAATGCCTCGTGAGTACAACTGCTGTACCAGAAGGCATGGAATGGCTGTAAACCAGAGGTGCTGAATCACTGGCCTGGTTGTTTCTGCATGATGTCATTATCAGCACCCAACAGGCAAAACTGGGGGGAAAGAATTTGCTTTTTATCGTGCCAGATCTGATTTTTCCTTTGAGGCTCAGCCGCAAATTGAGGAATGCACACTCCTTATCTTTGCGTTTCCCAGCTAAATATTCCTTGTGCTGCTTCTGGGAAGGCTGAGCAAAGTCTGATAACTCACCTACCAAGTTCCAGCGACGAGGAAGGAAGTGCAGAGACACAAATAGAAACCAGCATTGGAAAATCTGCCCGTGAGACTGATGCGATCTCTGCAAGCCTTCATCCAACCCCTTGCACACAGAGCTGAGGACGCCCTTCAACCCCACACAGCTGAGAGCAGCAGCCCCCCAGCGCACATTCCTGCTGACCTCATGTGTTTGGGAAGTCATCCTTCCCTCCTAATTCCATAGAAAAATGACCAAACCTCCCCACTCCACGTTCTCTGCATTGAAGCTAAGTCATGGCACAGCTGTGCTATGTGCAGCACTGCTGGGAAAGCATCAGCTGAGGATCAGGGCTGGCACAGAGTGCCATTGGGAACCTGCCCAGCAATGGCACTCCATGAGGCCAGGGCTCTGACTTCCAACATTGCTCAGCCACTTTGGGGGCAGCAGGCTGTGCGAGCCTCCATTGTGTAAGATGGAAAATAGAAGTGTTTTCCAAGGCTAATTGCTTTGAGAAGACCCTGTTTTGGGATGGTGGTGCATGAAGTGCTTGTTGTTCTCAGCAGAGAGTGCTGTGTGAGGAAATTGTAGCTGCAGCCATTCTGAGCTTCTTGACCTTGTTTCCCAGAAAACTGTTGTAAGCTGAAAGGCATCAAAGCTTACCAACATATTCAGTATTTTCTCAAGCTAAGAGGCGGCGGTGCTCAGAATGAGACCTGGGTGTTACGACAGGCTGGAAACTCAGGAGAACCAAATGATGGCTGAACACGTGAAGAAATCTGCTTCAGATGTGACCCAGTTTGCTGCACAAATTCCTCTAAGTGACCTCTTAGGCTTCTCAGAGCAAAAGCAAACTCAGCTATGAAGGACAACGGTCCTGCCTACACCCACTTCAATTCTTGCAAACAAGTCAATGAATCTACGTAGAGAGATGCATGTGGTTGGAGGATATTCACCTGTTCTTGCCCTACACAGCAGCTGGCAACAATAATTTTGTTTTCTGAAACGTGCTTCTTGCAGAGATCCCCTTCAAAACGTGGAACCTGGAAAGCTCATCACATTTTCCAGTGGGGAGAGATGGAACCTTTGGCACCCAGGTGGACGGAGAGGTGGAGCAACCCCCACCTGCCCTGTGCCCCAAGGGGGCCCTTCAGCAACGCTGGGAACACGTGGGGTTGCTGAAGGACTGACAGCGACAGACCCAACTGTTTTATTCTTGTGGGGTCACCATCCCTGGAGTTGTTTCAGAGCCATGGAGATGTGGCAATGAGGATCATGGGCATGGTGGGGTGGGATAGACTGGGGGATCTTAGAGCTCTTTTTCAACCTTCACAGTTTTCTATGATTCTTACCTGGTGTGCAGGGCCTCTCAGTTCCCATTTGTCCGACCAGCCCAGGCTAGGAACAGATCACAGCTGCTGCATCACCTCTCATTTACTCTTTGAGCCTTTGTGCTTTCAGGAAGCTCCTCAAACCCTGAAGGGAACAGAAATCATAAGCTGAGAAGGGAAAGAAATCAGGAAGGGAGGGATAAAATCCTGGGGGAGAACAACAGCTCCCCGAGCTCACACGTGTTCGTGAGCACCAGCAGCACGGGCCGTGTCAGTGCACCTCTATTAACAGGAGAGCGGTGGCTTCTGTTTGCCCTGCATGTCACCTGCAAGCTATAGGAGGTTCAAGTCCCATTCTTGCTCACCCCGGTGCCAGATGCCCCTGAGTTGAGCACAGGCTGCTCTGCACAGCACCCCTAAGCCGCTCCTGCTCTTGCACGTGGGCAACTTCCTCCAACTCCCTTCTTGCCTGGCCCTGCAGCACCTGCACAGCTCCAACCATCTCTGCAGAGATAACACGTGCAGCAACGAGGGACGAGTCTCAGCAGGGAGAGCGTGGGCACGCAGCAGGAGATTGCAATCAGAAGAAAAACCCTACAAATCAAATAAAGCCCATGCTATAAAGGAGATAAGATCAGTGCCTCTTTGGAATGGTGATGGGCGGATTTGAACAAGCTTGGTGTCCGTTCACCTTATCTTGCATTCTCTCCCTGAGGCTCAGTGTTGCTCCCAGGGCTGAGCGCAGGAGGACGCAGCATGCCGGCTCCATCAGAGCACTGCTGGTGCTGTGGGGATGTTTGCAGGCCAAGGGGTGACTTTGTCTGACCTCTGATCTGCTCGTGACCCCACAGCTGGGGCCGGTTGCATTACAAACCCACACCAACCACGTCCCTACAGCACACCTCCAAAAACCCCCCTGGGTGCCTTCCAGCACCTCCTGCCCTCGCTGCTGACACCACGATGTGAACCAGCGACGTGTGACCTCACCATGCAAACTCGCACAGACCGCTTCAACCCCCATTCGTCATTCACCCATCCCCATTCCAACCCCTCCAGGGCGCCGCTCTGCTCTGGGTGCATCACAGCCAGACGTGTCCCAACCCTTCCTGCTGCTGGAGCTGAGATCTGGGAGCTCCAGCCGTGAGTCAGCGCCGCACCTGAGAGCCCAATTCATCCCATGCAGAACACACGGCTGTGCATCAGCTGCTTAAATAAACTCCAGGGTATTTCTTTATTCTTTTTTTTTTTCCTCTTCCTTTTTTAAGTACTTACCCACATTGGGTGATAGGGAAGGCCGGTGTGAGGTTGGAGTTTCTATGGGGCACTCGTGAGGGAAACTGACTTCTGTGTACAAAACATCTGAGTCATCCCTGGGGAAGAACTGCATCCACATTTAACGGCGCTGCGTTCTGCTCTCTGGTGCAGCTTATAAGGAAAAGTGTCATTTAGGTTACCAGGAAGAAGCCTGTGCTGCCAGCTGGTGTAAACTTCAGTGAAACCCAATGGGGGGGGGGGGGGGGTTGTTTGTCCTTTAAGTTGCTTCACCCTCACAATTAGTGATATTGCAGTGAGTGTGAACAGCTCTGTGAGCTGCAGCAGGAGGAGGAAGGCAGTGTTACTTCGGCATCGTGGGACTGCTGTAGGATCTCACAGCAAAGCCCCATTTCCCAGAACCCAAGCAACATCCACCTGCTGGCACATTTGCATGCTGATCTAAAGGTCAGAAAGATCCCCTGCCTCAGTATCTGAGAGCCTGCATGAAGGAGGAGCTTCACCATGCAGAAATCCCCACCGGAGCAGCACAAACTCTGCAGGCAGGGCTGGCACTTCCCATCACAACCACAAAACGGCCCTGGTGCACAGAATGTCACCTGCCTGGAAACCACACAAAGGGACACAGCTGCTTTGCATGGCTGGCACTGACAGCTGGTCCTTACCAGGCCTGCATCACAGCAGCAGGGCAACGTTTGCTCCAAGTAGCATCTGACACAGGCTGAGTTATCCCCTGCTGTCTCAGCATCCTCACCCAGGCCAGCTGGCTGAGATCTACAGCTCTGGTGCAGCAGGGAAGGATCTGACCCGGCATAGGGCACCCCAGCAGCAGAACACCATGCCACAGGGCAGGGCATCTGTTCTGCACCACACACAGCGTCTGCAAGGCTCCTCAGCTCTTGCAGACCTCAGGGGTGGGAGCAAAGTTCTGCTCTATTGGATGGGGCAAAGAGCTGCATGGATTAAGATCAGTCTTAAAAAAAAAAAAAATAATAAGGAAAATAAAAAAAAAAACAACAATACAACCTGGAAAAACCCAAACAGCCCTACAGCACCAACATCCAGCTGCAGGAAGTGTTCCTGGGCTCTGCTCCAGCTCAGTTCTGTACCACACAGCCCAGGTGCATCACTGACCCTGCTCCTGCACGGCTCTCTGCGTGCCCACGTGGAGCTGAGAGCAGCAGGGCTGAGCATGGACACATCTGGCTGAGCACCAGCACATCTGGCTTTGTGACCAGCCTTAACCACTGCCTGCTCAGACCTGGGCTCACTTGGAACCCCACATTTTGTCTCATGGGCAGAAAAAACAACAACACAGGGCATCCCAACACCCTGAGGGGGGGGGGGGAGGCAGCCGTTCAGCAGGGCTCACACCCCAGAAAGGTAAAGGTCTCTGTTCATGGGGAAAAAAAAAACCCTCTCTGTATGGAGGAACCACCAGCCAGATCAGCATCCTAAAGTGTGGCTACCAGCTCTCTAATCATAGCATCATTTAAGCTGGAAGTGACCCAATGAGGCCATCAAACCCAATTGATCCACACTGGTGCACGTGGGCAGAGCAGGAGCTGCTATCAGCGTGCGTTTCAGTGTGCTCTGAACAACTTGCTGGGGGAAAAACACCCTATTTCAAAGCCCAGGCTCTTCCTGGAAACGACTCAGCAAAAAGAGCCCTAAAAAAGCCAAACTCATCCAAGGCAGAAGAAACAAGCTTTGTATCATCCCTGCCACAGGCTGCACAGTGCTCAGCTGGGGCACCCTGGTGACTTCCACAAGTGACTGAAAATAAGCTCTGTGGGAAGTGAGGCGTGGATGGGCAGCAGTGGCTGCTGGCAGCGCGCATGGGGACAGAGCCAGCAGTGACACAGCTGAGCTAAGGGACGTGCTGGGACGGTCACCTTGTGTGCAGTGCTGCTTTGCTGTTCTGTGTGCACAGTTCCCCTTTGTCAGTGGCTGATGTCACGTTCCCTTGAGGGACGTGCAAAGCAGGCGTCAGGATGAGCAGTGCCTGCAGAAGGCAGGGGGACCCCCAGCTCCACCTCTCCCCAGTGAGATCAGGAAAGGACAGCGGGAACAGGATCGGTGTAACAAAATAACCTCTTGGGTTTCTTTCTTTAGAAAACGTATCTCACATGGTATAAAATCAGGTAGCTCAGAAATAAATTGAAAGCCAACAGGACCTCAGACTTTAGGGACATCTTCCCCACAGCCTGTCTCAGGCAATCCACTCCTTTCTTAGCGTGCCAAGAGCAAATGAATCCCAGAATCACGTCATCTCTAAGGTTAGAAGAGACCTCCAAGCCCATCCAGTCCAACTGTTGACCCATCACCACCCATACCCACGTCTCCAAAGGCCTCATCAACCCAGCTACACCCCAAACCCAAACTCACAGAGCTCAGAACCAAGCCAGGCTCAAGCCTGCAGTGAGCTGCTGGAGGTGCTTTGCTGACGGATTGCAGATGCTCCTGGCACACTGGAGGAGCACCCAACGCACGGCACAACGCAGCACTCATCCACACTGCCCTTCCAGTTCGTTTTTGAAACATTAATAAATTAATGGAACCATGGTATAAAAAAAAAAGAAAGAAAAGAAAAAAAAGCAACCCTAAGAGTCCATTCTGTGTTCCCACTACGAGAGAAAGCGCTCCCGCACCTTCTTCTCTATGGAGGTCAGCTTGGTGGCCCGGAGCGCAGCCAGCAGCTCTGTGATGACAGCTGAGTTCTCCTGCTTGCGGTGTGTGAGCACAGCTCGCAGCTTCTCCTGAGCCACTGCCTTGGTCTCCTGGGCCTGCTTCCTGGGCGTGCGCTCCAGGATCTGCTGCAAGCGCTTCAGCTTCCGCAGGGGGATGTTTTGGTACGCCACAAAGTCGATCAAAGCTTGCTCGCAGTCCTCGTCCACTGGAGCTGGGGGGAGAAAAGCACCCGGAGGTCAGTGCTGAGAGCAGTGCTCTGAACATCAGAACCCTGGAATCCCCACATCTCAGGATGGTTGGGGTTGGAGATACCTCTGGGTCCCTCTGGTCCCCCCCTGAGCCCAGAAAGGTCACCCGAGCCGGAGCCCAGCCCCATGTCCAGGTGGGTTTGGAGATCTCCAAGGAGAAGACCCCACAAACACCACGTGTGGAAGTAACTCTGAACAGTTCCCTTCACCTCAAAAATAGCTAATCTACCTTCCCCATGCCCCTGCATGCCACGAAGCTGGGAGGAGAACTCGGATGGAGCTGCATGCAGTATGCACACACTCTGCTTTTCCTAAAGGTTCCTATTTTCCCCATGCAGAATTTTACATCTGGGGACAGGACCAGCCATAGACACAGAATTTTAGGGTAGACCCCATGATGGCTCATTAAAGAGCTCCCAAAATTTAGTGTTGGGGAGGGAATACATCACTGTGCATCAGATGTGCAAGAGTTGGAGGCCAGTGCTGTGCTTTGTGTCATCACATTGACACGTGGCACTCTGTGCTCAGACCTTTCCATGCCCCCATGTTTTCCAGGCCAAAATCCACATCACACTGAGGCTGTGCTGACCTTTACGTTCTTACTCCACTCCACACACACAAAATAAGGTCTGGATTACAATAAAAGCTTTCTGGGAAACACAGCAGCTCCTGTGCCACATGGCCAGCATCCGGTTTTGGGCAAAGGCTGCAGCAGCCGCCTCACGTGCTGGCATCTCTCTCAGCAAAAGCCCCACTGTGAGCACATCTGCCCCACACCTGGTTGCTGTGCTTGCTTAAAATCTGACCCCAGGCAGGGAGGGAGGGAGAGGAAGCACTTCTTGTGCCCTGCAGCCCCAGCACGGATCGCTCTGTGCTGTTACTGTCTGCCTGACCTGGTTTCATGCTTACACCACAACTGCTCTCACCCTGTGTTTCGGCTCTCACCTGGTCCCCGCGTGCTGTTGCTGCCCCCCATCCTGCAGGAGGTGCACAGGGTGTCATGGTATTGGTTTCCTGGCACATTGGTCTCCTTCCCCAGCTGTGTGCAGTTCTGGTGCACCTGGCACGGCTCAGTGCTGGAGCTGGAAGAGGAGAAGGAGCCCCGCGGGCAGGTGTGGCACTGCGTGTTCTCAAAGGGGGAACCTGGGGGGAGATGTGGGATGTTAGACATCGACCCCAACCTGTGTGCTGGGGGAGGAGCTGCTGGGAGAACCCGTAAGCAGGCATCCAGCAGCAGCACACAGCCGTGCCACCACCAAGCCCTTCCCCAACAGCCATGGGGCTCCAGACATAAGGAGGGGATGCTGTTCACTGCTGTTCACCTTGTGGGGCAGCAGAATCGGCTGTGAGCACCAAGGAGCAGCTGCCAAGAAACCCTCGGATCCCAGCACGAGCGGAGGCCCTCAACCAAGCGAAAGTAAAAGTGGCTGAGAATGCAAAGCTCAGCTCAGCTCTGCCCTTCCTGCAGAGCCCAGAGCTCTCCCAGCTCCATGCAGAGGATGCTGCTGGTAAGCAGCTGAGTGGAAATCACAGCAGTATCACTTCCCCAACGCCCCACGTGGCTCCTCAGAGTGACAACTCACTCTCCAGATAAATCAGTGTGTAAGTCCATGGAGTTCCCCATGTTTCTTGGAGACTCAGCTCACCTTATGCTGAATCGCCGCATTTTGTAACGCTCCCACAGAAAAGCTGAGCCACTGGACTCAACCTTAAGCATCACCTGAGGGCAACAAACCTTCCCCATCTCGCCCTGAGCCTGCAGCCCTCCCATGACACACGCTGAAGGATTCCCAAAGCGCCTTCTGAGCACAAAGCAGGGGGTGTGGATGCTGCCCTGCTGCTGTGTTGTATCACCTGTGCTTTCCTAACAGAGAGCTCAGTGACTCAGCAGGGAACGAGAGGGAAGCACGCACCTGCTGTATGCTAATAGCATTTTTAGAAAGTACAGAGCCAAGCAAACAGGGCAATGAAAGGACCAGGAGTGATTCAGGAAAAGATGGAAAAAAAAAGAAACTCCCTAAAGCCCATCGTGACTCAAAGGAGACTCAGACTCACAAATCTCCCCTAGAAGGAATCACAACGAGTCTGACGTTACCGTTTTGGAACCTCTCCCATTGATCTATTTCACGTTTCAGGTGGAGCCCATCCAAATGACTCAACAAATCCCACAAAACCGAGCCCCAGAGCTATCCACGCTCCCCAGCCCTGCCCTCACACCAGCAGCATTCACACCTCCATCCCCTTGGCCACTCGCCTGCGAGGACAGCGAGCCAGCAGCACAAAGCTTGTCGAAACCCTGCGACCTTCAAGGTCCCTTCCAACCAAAGCCATTCTGCAGCTCAGCAGATGGCCGCCCCCCATTGGGGTGAGCAGCTTTGGGCAATAGCAGAACTACGCACCCAACTTCACGACTCCAGAACCTGGTGGGCACACGGAGTGCTGCACACAGAACTCCAACTCGGTGTAGAAGCCCTCCTGGCACTGACACGCTCTGTTGTGGGTGGCGTTGCACTGCTGCACCTCCACCTGCCGCTCCCCGCAGATGACGTTGCAGTAGAGGCATTTCTCCAGGTAGTTCCAGTAGTGCGTGTAGTGCAGGTCGGGGCAGGGCGAGCACACCGTCGGGCTGTCCCTGGTGCAGTGCTGTGCCACGAATGTCCCCGGCGGGCACTGCTGGCAGGTGACCTTCTCCTTGGTCCCAGCATCTCTCCACTGGTACGTGGGTGGGGAGCTGCAGCCCAGCTCTGCCAGCAGCAGGAGGAGAGGAGCAAACGCCCGCTGTAGGGAAGCAAACAGCTCTTACAAAGGAAAGAGCAACCAGCTCGGCTGCTGCGCTGCCTTACTGCTCCCGATCGACGCCGCTGATGCGAGGAGTTCTCCTGCGTGCAGCTCCCTCGATTGCTCTCCCACCTGATGCTCTCAACCCCAGCTGTGCGATGAGGTCCCGCTGCAGCCCCCTCTGCCCGCACTCACCATACGGGGGCTGGCACAGCGTCCATCCCAACAACCCCACAGCCCCTACAGTCGTACTGCCGGCAGCCCAGCACGTTCTCCTCCGCTTCGGAGGTTCCCCATTGTCGGGGTGATGCAGCGGCAGAGCAGCGGGAGAGAACTTCTCCAAACGAGCAAAGCGTGCTCCGTAGGAACCCGACATTCCTCCACTCCGGGGCTGAGAACCCCGGAACTTTCTTTCTCCTCCCACCCCCTCCTCAAACAGCCCCCGGACGGTAGGAACCCACCTTGGGCGGCCGCCAGACGGTCGGATCGGGGCAGAGCAGCATCGCCGCGGGGCTACGAGGCGCGGCGTCGTCGTCGGTGGGGGTTCCGGGGGGCGGCGGATCCTCGCAGCGGCTCCGCGGTGCGGCGGCAGCTCCCGCTCAGCTTTAAAGAGATGCAGAGAGGGGTGAGGCTGCTGCCGTGAGCTCTGCTCCCCCGCACACAGCCGGGGGCGGCGGGGCAGGGCAGGGTCTCCCGGCTGTCCTCTGTTGGCCCCGTCCCGGTCTGAGCGCCACGCACAGCCCCTTTATAGACCTAAGATGGAAAGACCCCTCTTGCGCAACGGTCCCCCCCCGCCCCGCCGCAGCCCCGCACCCCTCCGGCCCCGCTCCGCTGCGGCGCGGTTACCTGTCCTCAGTACAGCGGCAGGTAGAGACTGCGCGTTATATAGGGATATGTGGGCGCTGAGCCGGGGCTCGCGGGGGAATAGCAGGGAATTCCCCGGGGGATGGCCTCGCTTTAAGTGCTCACAGCTTCCCGAGAACAGCCCCCAAACGCTCCTCGTCCCGCAGCCCCCTAGGGGCATTCGGTGCCGCCACTCACAGTCCCGATGTGACGACGGCTACACCAACACAGATACAGCTGGACAGTCAGGCTCACAACCAGACTCATAGCTGGACAAACAGCGGGACGCACAGCTGCACTCACCGTGTTCGAGTAGGGCATCCCCATAGCGGGCTCGCAGCTTCACCCTCCTCCTTTCCGAGCACCGCAGCTCCTGCCCCGCTCCAGCCGTGACGCCGAACCTCGCTGCTCAGTAGATGCAGCGCTCAGCAGCACGGCAGCATCAGACAGCAGATGCTCTGCTGGCAGTCCCAGAACCGAGGATGAGCAGCGGCAGTGCTGCTCAACAGAGCCACCCAGGAGTGAATTCAGCAGCACTGCCGTTGTTGCTTAAAAGCATCAGAACGGGTGTACTTTGTCCTGCCCTACTCGGGCTCCCTCTGAAGCCGAGTCCAAGGACACCTCCACGCTGTGCCTGAAGTGCTAACAACGAAGGTGAGCCCTAGACAGCCCGTGGCCTTCCTTAAAGGCAAGGACAGAGTGGAGGAGAAGGAGAGAGGCATCCCCTTCCCCCGGGGCGCATGCAGGAGCCCCATCCTGAGCTCAGCCCTACCTTACAGACATCCTCATGGGCTCAGTGCTGGAGGGCAGGGAGGAACTGCACAGCCACAAGGGACTGAGAGCAACAGGGAGGCAAAAGATGAGCAAACTATCAGAGAATTCAGCTCCCCAACCGATGGAGGTGAATACATCACCATACAATCCCATCCCAGCACAGAGAGCACCCATCTGGGAAAGCACTGCACCCACCTCTCCCTGGGCCTTCTGCAGGGCTAACACCCTTCTGTGGCTTTGTGCACGGGAGGCAGCACCTCTCAGTGCTCAGTTTGCAAATACATTTGTACACAGACACCGCGCACGGTGATGTGTGCTGCATCCAGATCAGGTGCATGCATGGGGAGAGGGGGGACACACACTTGTGCCCCATAGCAGCCCCAATCCAGCAGCCCCACGGGGGAAGCAGCACTGGATACCCACGGAGGCTCTCCAAAGAGACACTCAGCAGCGGCCAAACCAGTATCATAAACACCGTGCTCCAAAAAAAACAAATGTGAAGTTGCTGTTAACATAAAGGTGAGTCACAGTGCAGGGGGTCAGAGGATGTGGAGGCTTTGCAAATCATTACAGAGAATTCCCCACACGGAGCACTCACCTTCTGCAACACCGGAATTCACGCTCGGCAGAGGGACACCAAACTGCCCCAACTCACCTCTGGGTCACTGCATCTGCACTCCTTTCCGGGTGGTGAACCTCACTGGATCCATTCCTAATAACCTTAAGGATCCTACAAGAGCTGAACGTTTCCCAAGTCCTCAAACCAAACCTCTAATTCACCACCCAGGAAAAGCAGCAAATCCTGATGTCCTGTAGGATCCTCAGGCTCCTTCCAGCAGCACCAGTCCCAGCCAAGAGCCACATCCTTGTAGGTGGGACGCAGAGCAGTGCACGCTGAGTGCCAGGGCTGGGACACGCAGCGCCTCTGTGCTGACACATCTCGACTTGTCCAAGAACATGCAACAGAAATCAGATCATAACTTTTGCAAACTCGTGAGGTGTTGATGCCATGAAGGGTCAACACTGCAGCATCTGCCAAGTAATGGTTACTCAAAGCAGTTTGAAAGGCTGTTTTGCACTGCTCCAGACCTCAAGGTTCTGTAATTGAGGAAAAACCCACCTGAGTGCCTTTGCTGTGCTACCAGCAGCTGCACGCACCTCTCTGGATGGAGGAGCCTGCATGACACTGAACCACGTGGTGATGGAACACCAGGAGCCCCTGTGCCCTGCTGGGGATGAGCGGTGCCATGGATGCAGGAAGCGCCAGTTCACATCACACCACTCTGCAGCACTACCAGGGCCCTCTGCTCTGACTTTAGAACAAAACCAGCACAGATTAATGCTCGTAAAGAGGGAAATACCATGTCGGGAGGACTGAAAGGGCTCCTCTGGGCAATGTCTTTCTGCAATGGGGACAAAAGCCAGTAAATCAAGCACCTCTATTTACCCTTCTTCCATCTGTTTCTTTACTTGACCAGTGAACCTCCAAGGACAGGCTCAGTGCTGCTGAAGGCAGCAGCTCCACTCACCCCTGACCTCCTGACCTGAGCAGATGCTTCAGGGAACGAAGCACCACAGCCCCAGGGGGTCGGTTCCACTTTCCCATCATCTCCAACTTTCGAGAGCTTCAGGGTGCCCAGAAGCATTGCTTTTCATAACCGCTGCAAAATGAGGTGTCTCACTGCTATTCAGAGAGAAGTCTGTAAAGCAGAGAAGCCCCTCGCTATCAGTCATCACTTATCAACACCAAAAGTAGTCACTTCACCTCTTTCCTGATAGGGTTGCTTTGTTTGGTCTCTTCTGAGCTGTTTTATTTATGATGAAGAGTGTACGTGGGTAGAAATATTCCAGTGACACACAGCAGAACTGAAGGCAGCTCTACAGTCACAGCACCACAAGGCACAGGCAATGAGTTGCACATTGAACTGCCTCCTTCGTGATGTTTTAACTCCCATGTCACTTTGCTTCCCAAAACCCAACAGGAGTGCCTATGATAGGTTTTCCTTTCCAGGAACAGCCAGTTCCTCTCACCAGATGTATCAACGTGAATATTTCAGAAAGCAGTCTTGTTTTCACTTTCTGGGCTTCCTAAGCTGTGTTTTCTCTGCCTCTTCTTGTAAACCCAGCTCATTCCAAGATGACTGAAGGTTGCTCTCGTTTCTTGGGGGCACATCCTGAAGCAGTTCCTGGTGCTGCTGCCCTGCAGTGCTGGAGGCAGCCTTGTGCTGGGGAGCCATGGGCAGGGACCACAAGAAAGCAACAACAAACCCAGGCTGACTCCAACCCGATTCCACCTACAAACTGCAGATCCATCGCTGGGAGCGCAGGTGCAGCTCAGAGTGTGTCAGTGTGGTCCTTTAAGTCCAGGCACAGACAGCAAACCTTCACCAAGATGATCCTGCTGCTCAAATGCAAGAGAAGGAACACAGGACTCTGTTTGGAGGCACTGAAGTTTTAACACAGCCCCATCTCAGTAACACCGCAGCATTTCTGGATAGAAGCGGTCTCCAAAACGAAACCAACCCCCCGGTGGTGGGGAAAAGAAACAGCTGGAAATCTATTCTGACTGTGGGAAGAAAGGTAACGACTGCACCACGTTCCGATCAAGCACTTCGGTGACCACCGCTCCCTTTCCCGTGCTGTGGTTTCCCCCCAGTGGCACCAGCAGCAAGCTGCAGCTCTCCACAGGGGCTGAACCGTCACCAAATCGCTTCTCACTGCTGCCAGCTTCACTCACACAGGGCTTCCTGCCTCCTTAAATTGTGAATCCAGAACGGGGATGATCCAGCTGTGCAGGTTGGGTTGTGCCTTGAGGAGAAACCAGATGGCCCCAAAGCTGCAGGGCAACACAGCAGTGCTGGGTGCTTTGCTTTGCCAGAGAGCATTTGGGGTTTTTACTCCCATAATACAACAGCTTTTGTTACACCTGTTCAGAACAAAATCCTTTTACAGGACAGGAGTTTAACATCAGTGCCTTCTTGACACCATCCCTCCAAATCTTTTCCTTTTCACCATACTTAGAGAAATCAAATATAGAAATCCTGTGGGTTAACAAAGGATCAAACAACAGAATTATTAAATATATCTCTGATATCTGATATCTCTGATATCTCATGGGATTCTGAACACAAATAGAAGTGTCAGTGTTACCACAGGAACCTCAGAACCAATCAGCAAATGGTAAGAATTTGCCATTAATTTACCATTAAGAATAAAGGACAGAAACGAGCAAAGGATCATAAACATTCCAATGCCCAAAACCCCACAGCACAGAACTCTCCACACACTCCTACCAGGCCCACTGCCACTCCAGCTCTTGTTTCTATATCTGCCAAAAGAAAATACAGCCCAACCAATACATAAAAATGTTTTTATTTATGGTTCAGTTAAGAGACACGACTGATGGCTTAGAACTGATTTAAGTTACCCCCTTATTCCCACTACTTACAGAGAGTGGAAGTATTGAGCAGCTTTTTTTTTAATCCATTCCACTTCATTTATTTTAAAGATTGGAATCAATTAGATCCTTCTTCTTGGAAGACAACCATCAAATAACACTGACAATAGGAATGCCAGTGCTGGGCAAAATACAAAGCCTCCTGAGAAGCACATTTCCAAAAATCCCTGCTCTGTGGATGACACTGGGGTGCACAGCAGGCACTGGGCAGCATCTCTGCTCACTGTCCAACCACTTGATTTTGTTTGAAGGAAAGCCCTCCTTTTGGTATCTTCTGCTGTTGGAGACAACAGCTACTGAACACCACAAGAACATGAACTGCTCCTCCAAGAACACTGAGGGGCCTGCAGGGCTGTGTCTGGCCTGGTAACACAGCCAGCTCCACTCCAACATGTAACTGTTGTAGGGTTTTTCCAGGAATGGATATTACCTGAAGGGCCAGGTGATGACAGCCTCTTCCAGGATATGCAATTAGGCCTAAGTCAATATCAAATCCACAGGACACAGTAAATAAATTCACCATCTTCATCCCAACAGAGGACAATGCTGCTTTGTCTTCTGCCAGCAGTGCACACCTGACCCTTCACACTCAATTGATTCGCACAACAAAATGACACCTTTTGGTGCACAGCCATGTTTTCACCAGCATCAAGGACCAGAGATCTTTAGAAGAACCTTCCTCCTGCTTCCTGTCAGCTCAGGTCAGAGCACAGCAGCCTAATTTCTGCTGACACAAAGCACTTGCCTTTCTTGCCTTTCTGGCAGTGAGACCATTACCAGAAATAAGCTCGAACCAAGCGCTTCTTCTTCACGTCACAGCAGCATTCTGGGCACTTCTTCATCTATAAAAACAGATGAAGAAAACATATTGATTACATATAAACTTTCTCTTCCAAGTTTGCAATGGTCTGATATGAAATATAACCAACACTTTCATTTCATTGCTCTTAAGATACCTTGCCTGCTGTTTTTAGATGTGGAGTTAGCATGCAACCACTGCTTTAACTGCTAGCAACGCATAGAGGAAAGCAAAAAGGCTGCTTGGTGAAGTAGCAACAAGTTTCAGAGCAGTTGTCTCACACTTACAGCTATGGCACACCTAGAAGAGGAAGGAACGAGGAAACAGAACACGATTCAAGAACTTGCAAGAGCTGCTGTGAAGCACAGAAGCGCTGGTTGGCAAAGTGCTGTAAGGTCACCAAGGAGTTCCGTGAACTTCCTCAGGCACAGACAAGAAGGAAGTGGGCACAGCAGGAAATCAGTGGCACACGTGGCCAGGACCAGGATTCCTCCAGAGGTACAGAGCACATTCATTTCTTCATCCCACCACACACCTTCCCAGGTATCCAGCAGAAGGTGGCACGTGATGCACTTGTTTCTCAACCCAGGTTTCAGGATGCTTCTCAGCTTACGTTTAGGAAACCCTGCCTATGACCTTCCCTTGTATGTTACTGTTGTAACACAAAGCATGGACTGTAAAGTAGGTTAGGGCACTGTATTTCAATGCTAGAAAATACTCTAAATGGAGGGAGAGAAGAAACTCATTTTACCTCCCTGTACACACTGCTTTGTCAAGTAACTCCTCACGTTTTAAGTGTAATATATAATTGTGAAACTTTAATTCCCCCACAGTACATCTAAATAGCACAGAGAA